CCGTGTAATGGGTTTAATGACATTTCTTTTTACAACAATGGTGGTTTCCATTGAGAGAGAGAGAGAGAGAGAGAGAGAGAGCGAGCGAAACATCGATTGGTTGCCTCCTGCACACGCTCCAACTGGGAATCAAACCCGCAACCTTTTAGACGGACATGAAGTGATACAGTTGACCTTGAACAACGCCAATTTTAAAAAATCCACGTATAAGTGGACCTGGTAGTTCAAACCCCTGCTGTTCATGGGGCAACTGTATTTGGATTCCCAGCTGGGAACTCATGGATGAGGGGCCCCTGCTACACAGTGGTGGGGAGTGGGCACCCTTAACCCCGGAGCTGGTCAAGCGTCTGCTGTTCATGCAAAGCACTGCAGAGTGCTCAGCGAGCCCGGGAAACAGCACAGGCAGCAATCGTAACTGCCAGCGTTTCAAGGCCTTTTAGCTGGTTGAGTGACAGGAGCGGACACTGTCATCACCCTAAAGGCTCCTGGACATTTGGCCAGTACAGGCGCTCTGCTGAGCATAAGACACACCGACTGCCCAGCGCTGTGGCTCAGGCTGAGCGTCGACCTAGGAACCAGGAGGTCAGGGTTGGATTCCCGGTCGGGGCACAGGCCCGGGTTGTGGCTCGGTCCCCAGTGTGGGGTGTGCAGGAGGCAGCCGGTCAGTGATGCTCTCATCATTGATGTTTTTCTCTCTCCCTCTCCCTTCCTCTGAAATCAACTCCCTGTGACGCCTCCTTTCTGGCCTTCACTTTTGCACAGGCCTTTTCCTTTGTGCATGGCTGTCTGCTGGCTTCGGAGGGCGGGTGGCGCATTTTGGGGGGGCGCCTGGCGCCTCGCACCAGACGCCCACAGGGGGAGGCACCGCAGCAGCCCAGGTGCATTCGCAGGAAACGCGTGCAGCTGTGACGCGTGCAGCTGTGGCGCCCACATCAAAGGCGTGTGGCCCGTGTGGGAGTCCAGGCCGCTGGCGGAGCTATTCCTGGCGCGGCGCTGCCTCACCGTGATCCGCGGCCTCTCTCTATCTCGGTCTCCCCACCGCTCACACGGGCAAGGCCTACCTTTTCTGGTTTCACAGAAACGCACGGGCCAACCACGTCACCGGCTGGGACCTGCCTGCCTGGGGCCCGGGGGCCAGGCGCCGGAGGCTCTGAGAGCCCTTCCGACGAGGTCTGCACTCGGTTTCTGAGAAAGCGACCCCCTTAGCTGCAGCGCCCCTGGTTCAAGGTGACCACAGCGTCCCCCCGGCCCCGGCCCGGCCTCTGCACGGCCTCCAGCCCACATTCAGGCTGTGAGGCTCTTCTGTTTAACTGCCCCCAGTCACCCCGCAGAGCCGGCCTGGCTCCCCCCTCCTGCCCACCTGCCCCCTCATGTGTGGGTGTCAGTGCACAGCAGCTTCCAGCGCCCCAGGCAGGCGGGCTCCTTCCCAGGCACGGAGCCCCTGCACCTGCTGCTGCCTCACTGCACATCCCCCTCCTCCCGTCAGCAAACTCCTCTTCACCCTTCAGAACCCAGCTCCGAGGTCCCTCATCCTCAGGCTCAGCGTGGGGGGCAGGGGGGAGGTATGAGGTGTCCTCAGGGCTCATCCCCCCGGCTGCCCTATTCCCACCCCACAAGGAAGTCGGGGACAGGGAGGGAGGGACGCTGCCACAGGCCCGGAGCCAGGTGCAGGCTGGAGCTGGGCTGAGACCCACTTGAAGGAGGTGACGGGCTCCTGGCGTGGGGCCACCTCCTGGTTGTGCTGGAGCCCAGGCATCGCTCCGGGACGGCCGGGGCCCCGGAGGCCCCGCTCCGTCATCTCAGCACCCGCCCGGGAGGCTGGTAGCCGGAGCAGCAGTTTAGGGAAGAGCCAGAGGGGACCCATCCCACGCCCCAGCCCAGCGGCGCCTTCAGGTGGGGCGGGCGTGAGAAAGGGGAGGCCTGACCCGAGATGCCAGGGGGAGGCGGCCGAGCGCATCCATCCCGTCCAGGGCTGAGGGCTGACGGCTGGTGGGGCGCTCACGGCCCTGGGCCTGGTTTCTCCTGCCCTGTTCTCGGGCCAGGTCAGAACTGGTTTGGGGGCCCCGCCCCGTGTGATAGCTCCGTTTATAGAAACAGGAAGTTCGGGGTTCGGGTCAGCACCCAGCCCCACGCTGCCGTTCCCTAGAAAGGAGGGGGCCTGGCTGCGTGGGGTTGACAGCTGTCCTGGCATCCAGGTGCCAGGCTCCACCCACCTGGGTTCCCGCCCCAGGTCAGAGGTCAGGGGTCAGGGGCCTTCAGGGAGGGGGAGCCGGGGGAAACGCGAGGTCTGGGTTGGGGGGAGGGAAGCCTGGCCTCTGAGGTCCAGGAGCTGCAGGGGGGCCTCCGCCCAGACCCCCTGAGCGTGTTCCGTTTTCAAGGCCGCCTGCCCGGGGGTGGGGCTGGGCCGGCAGGAAGGGGCTCCGGTGTGACCAGCCTGGGCCCAGAGGTGGGGCTGGGCCGGCAGGAAGGGGCTCCGGTGTGACCGGCCTGGGCCCCGGGCAGCTGTTTTGTCTCCACCAGAACCGGGCCCACAGCGCTCGCCTGCCAGTCTGGAAGCAGCTGGCTGGGGAGGGGGCTCGGCTGGGAAAGTTCTGGACTCCTGTCTCGCCGGGTCTCCGAGGCCTGGTGCTCTGTCCCGGGCGGTCAGCACTGATGGTGGCATGGGCCTAGGTCTGTGGTCGGCAAACCGCGGCTCGCGAGCCACATGCGGCTCTGTGGCCCCTTGAGTGTGGCTCTTCCACAAAATACCACCTGTGGGCACATGGACAGTGCGATGGAAACTTCGTGGCCCATGCGCAGAAGTCGGTATTTTGTGGAAGAGCCACACTCAAGGGGCCAAAGAGCCGCATGAGCCGCGGTTTGCCGACCACTGGCCTAGGTGATGGGAAGGGTGCCCTGGCGGGAGGAGGGTCGCCGTGGGGGGAGGGGCTGGGTGGCCGGGGCCTGCTGGCTGGAGGCTCCTGGGAGCCAGGGAGTCGGCGTAAGGCAGGGGGTTGGGGGGGCGGGGGGCAGCGCTGCCTCACAGCCCAGGCCCCCGAGGCCACAGACGGGGAGAGCCCGGCCCAGGTCCCCCAGCTGCGTATGCACCAGCCTCCCCACGGGGTGGCCTCTCGTTAGGTGGCGCCGCAGTCTGACTTCCAGGCTGGCACCTGTCTGGACGGAGCTGCTCCCCTCCCCTACTCACCGGCCGCTCCTCATGTGGAGGGGGAGGGGCTCTGGGGCCACTCGAGTTGGGGTGTTGGGCTGGAGGCCAGTGTCCATCACAGACACACGTGGGCCTGGCTGCTGGGGCCCTGAGGACGGACCTGGCCTCGCGGTCCCTCGGGCCGACGTGTCTGGCTCCCGGCCCCGCGGGGCAGGCCTGGGAGTTGGGCTCTAGAGGTGTCCATTTCTACCTGCCGCTCTCATTGTGCCCCGAAGAGCTGTGACTTGAGGGTCCCAGGAGGAGGCAGCACTCCTTCATGGGGAGGGGTGGGCGCCTCCCCCTGGCGTGGACCCCCTGCAGCTCCTGGGACCTTGGGGACCAGTCTTTGCCCCGGAACTCAGGCCTCTGGTCTCCCCTCCAAAGTCCCTCTGTCCTCTGACCCCTGACCCCTGTCCTTGGAGCCTCTGTCACCCCTGGGAGGGGACCTGGGCCAAGCGGCTCCCCTGCACTGGCCGCTGCCCCAATGCCCCCCTGAGCTTGTTCCACTTTCAGAAATAGCTAATGAGGAAATTAATGTTGTCACCCGGTGGACTCGATAAACGTGTCAGGGAAAGACAATTAACCTTGGCACGAACCCGTTTCCCCCAAATTAATGAAGTTAATAACTTCTTATGTTGAGACAGTCATTTGGAGAGCGGGGAGGGGGCTGCAAAAGCAGAGCTGGCTGGGGCGGAGAAGGAGAGACAAGAACTTGAGGGAGGGGCTGGGGAGCGAGAGAGAGAAATGCGGAATGGCTGGCTGAGCAAGAACGAGGGGGGAGAGCATGCGCCAGGGACGGGCTGCAGTGTCTCTGAAAACTGTAAATCCGGCTTCTGATCAGCAGACTCAAAGCTAAAAGCACAGCGTGGAGAGAGCTGGGGTGTGTGTGTAGTTACATCTTTTATTGTCTCATAGAGGAAGGGAGAGGGAGAGAGAGCCATCAGTGATTAGAACCATGGATCGTCTGCCTCCTGCACACCTCGCACTGGGGATCGGATGGAGCCGCAGTGCCAGCGCGCCCTGCCCTGGAGTTGAACTGCGACCTCCTGGTTCCTAGGCCGGCGCTCACCCGCTGAGCCAGGCCAGCCGGCCCGGCCGTCTACATGTCAGCTCCCCGCCTGTGCGTCCACCAGTTTCCACCTCGTGGGGTTGCAGGGAGGCGCAGAGGGGATAATGTCTGGGAAACGGTGTCCAGTTCGGAGACACTACGGGATTGCCACCGCCCCGCGGACACACAGCGCCCCTGGTCTGAGGCGCTGGGTGCTGGGGGCGGCTCCCCACCTCTCCCGCCCCCCACTTCCCCAGGCAGAGCGAGACCACCGGGCCCGCTGAGACGGCGGGATCCGGGCACAGAGGAGCCGGGACATCCCTCCAGGCTCCTGATCTCCGTCCCCCTGGGAGGAGGACTCAGTGGGTGAGACCTGGAGGGGCGCGGGGAGAGTAACCAGCGCGCCCCACCGGCACCGGCTCTGAGCCGCGTCCCCTCCACCGGCAGCTCCGCAGGGCGCCTTGGGGCAGCCCGGACTGCGCGTTCAGCAGCACCGCGGAGGGTGCCCTCACTCCTCGCCCGCGTGCAGGGCCGCTGGCCTGGGCCTCCCGCCCCCAGCCCCTCTGCAGGCCCTGGCTCCACGGAGGGCGGAGGGCGGAGGGCGGAGCCTCCTGCAGCTGCTGCCTCCGCGGGCCCCAGGGCCGCCTCTCCGGGCGGGCGGGGTTTGCTGCCAGCACCCCGGGGAGGGCGGCCACAGGAGGGAAGAGGGAGAAGTGGAAGCAGTTTAAGAAATCGCACAGGCCGGGCAGCTGGGCCACTTCCCGATTCTCCGCTGACGTGCGGGCCCCTGGCTGGGCCCCCTCCGCACCGCCCGGAGAGCGCACCCCTGACTCAGCGCCTTCTGCGGGGGCCTGGCCGGGGTCAGCGCAGTCCCAGCCGGTCTGGACCGGATGCCTCCTGCCCCGGGGGTCCAGGGCCAGGTGACTGGGCCGGGGTTCAGGGGGTTCACGGGGTCAGGGTGGGCGGGTCCACCCCATGCAGGGCGGTGCCCAGCTCCGCTGTCCACAGGGCCGGCCCGCAGCCGGGCAAGTTCCTCGTCTCGCAGCCCCGCGTGTCCTCCCCGCGCCCAGGAGCCAGCGCGTCTCCCGGCAGGTGGGCTGCTCAGCTCCGGCTGCCGCGACAAATGCCAGGGACCAGCGGCCTCACTGAGCCTCTCCCGGAGGGAGGCTGGAGCCAGGGCGGGGCGGGCGGGTCCCCAGCGGCTGGGGTCCCCGAGCTCTCGCCTCATGTGCGGGGTCAGTTCAATAGCAGCCTCGGCGGCCCCTCCGGCCCCTGCCCTGACCTGCCCCGGGCCCGGTGCCCCTGCCCCGCTCTCACACCCTCTGTCCGCCCCCCTCGTCCGGACCCTCCTCGGTCTCCCCAGCCTCCTGGTAGCCCCGGCCCCGCGCTGAGCTGGAGGCGGGGAGCGAGGGTGTGGGTGGCGACACAGCGGACGGTGCAGACTGTCCAGGCTGCGAGTCCAGGGGCGGCCGCAATGCAATGCGGTTGTCAGGGGCCTGCAGAGTATGGCTGGGGCGGAGCGGGGCAAGGGGCGGGTAGGGGCGGGGCGGGGGTGTGTGTGGGCGGGGTTGGGGCGCCAAGACCACCACCAAGGAGGAGGCCGCAGCAGGCCCCGTGTATGGGTCCTGGTTCTCACCCCCAGCGGTTTATGGGATCAGGCCTGACACAGACCCCGCTGCTGGGAGGCCCTCTGTCCCCCCAGCGCTTCCAACATACGGGCCCTGTGCTCCCCAGACCTGCCCTGCGGTTGGACCCATGATGCTTTGCTTTGGGGCATTACCCATGATGCTTTGTGGCATTACCCATGATGCTTTGCTTTGGAGCATTACCCGTGATGCTTTGATTTGAAACATTACCCATGATGTTTTGCTTTGGGGCGTGACCCATGATGCTTTGCTTTGGGGCATTACCCATGATGCTTTGCTTTGGGGCGTGACCCATGATGCTTTGCGGTACTTCTTGCGCCTGCGTGGTGGGAGCAGACGGCCTCACGGGACGTCCCGCTGGGTGTTGGCCCCGCAGGCCCGGTCGCCGGAGCGGACAGCGTCCATGTTGGCGAGCGCCCTCTCCACGGGAGAGCCCGGCTCCAGTCAAGCCGCAGCGAGGCCGTGAGGATCGAGCCTTGGGTCCGGGGCCTGCGGTGGGGCCTGAGGTCTGCGTTTCTGACGCGTTGGGGGCCCGCCGGCTGCGGTGAGTGGGGAGTGGCTGGACCCGCGTGTCCCCGGGTTCGGTCCGGCACCGCTGTGCGCCTGCCGGTCACTGAGGCCCGAGAGCGTCTGTGTGGAGGGTTGTGGCTGTCGCTCTCACGGCGTTAGAAGTTGTAACTGACCCGTTTTTAAAATGTTATTTTTAATGCACTTGTTTTAAAATATTGATCAAGTCATTAAAAATAAAGCTCACAAAGCCATCACATATTTACTTAAATAACATATTTTATCAAATGAACGGTATTTTTCCCCAAACAGGAAACGGCAGAGAGAACAGCCTCAGTTTATCTTTTTGCAAAGCTCTCCAACACGGGACTGTCAGGGACGCCAGCCACACCCTCCCACGTGGAGCTCCTGAGTCCGGGCGATGGGTAGGATTGCATCGTCCCATGTTACAGACGAGCAAACCGAGACCTGAGGAAGGTGCGGTGACTGGTGGCGGGTTTTGCAGTCAGGGCAGGGCCGCGGGAGCCCAGGAAGGGCTGTTGGGGGATGCGCTCCCCGTTCTGTGTGTCTGTGTCCACGCACACAGGTGTGCGCCTGTGCGTGTGCGTGTCTGTACGTGAGCATGACGCGCGTGCCTGTGCAGCTGTGTGGGCGGGGCTGCGGGTGCTGCAGGAGCAGGAATTGGGGCCCAGTGGGGAGCGGAGGGTGGCGCCTGGGCCCTGTGCCGAGGGCTCTGGCCTTGTCCTGCAGCGCACGGGCGACATGGTGGCCGTTTTGGGTGGGAAGCGTGTGGGCACTGAGAGCAGCTGAGGGTGGATCTGGGAGAGGCTCGGAGGCGGGGGGAGGCCCGCAGCTCTGACCCGGCCCGGCCCTCGGAGCCCAGATGTGCGGGCGGCCCGCTGGAAGTCACTGGAGCTGAGGAGCTGCGTGTGGGGTCCTCGCGTCTCCGCCGTGAGTCTCATTGGCCCTGGCCTCCAGCTGACAGCCACAGCCCTGGGCCTGGAAGGCGCTCTGCCTCCCCTGGCAAAGCCGAGTGTCAGCCACCTCCCTTCCTTGCCGGGTCATTCGTGGGCGCGGAGAGAGAAGTCAGCACCCGGCGGCAGGAAAAGAAAAAGCCTGGGGCGCAGCTAGCTGCCCAGGGACCCGGAACCCGAACCCGGGGAGCGAAGGCCGTGGCCAGGGCCCGGGCTCTTGAGCTGCGTCCAGCGCCTGGGCTGCGGCCCCAGGTCCCAGGGGGCGTCTCGGGGTCGCAGGGCAGGGAGGTGTTTGCTCAGGAGGGAGCTCAGGTGAGACCCTCAGCGCCGGAGTCCGAGCTGGTCACGCACCCTCACCCGGAAGGCGCCTGGCCCTGCAGTGTTACCTGTTTCCAAACGCCCGCAGGGACCCGGGGTCGCCAGGCCTCCCGCTGGCCCTGGGACGGAGCATCGGCCAGAGGGTACGGCCGGGCGAGTGCAGGTCTAAGTTTAACACCAGACACCAGCTCATGTCACACTCGCCCCTGGGAGTGAGTTTCCTGTCCTGTGTGAGAGTCAGTGTGTGCATGAGAGTGTGAGTGAATGTAAGCATATGTGTGTGTAAGTGTGTGTGTGAGCGTGTGTGTGAGCATGTGTCAGTGTGTGAGAGCCTGTGTGAGTGTGTGAGCATGTGTCAGTGTGTGTGTGAGCATGTGTGTCTCTGTGTGAGCGTGTGTGAGTGTGTGAGCATGTGCGAGTGTGTGTGAGAGCCTGTGTGTCTCTGTGTGAGCGTGTGTTAGTGTGTGTGAGCATGTGCGAGTGTGTCCGTATGTGTGTGTCCGTGTGTGAGCATGTGTGAGTGTGAGCGTGTGTGTCTGTGTGTGCGAGCATGTGCATGAGCATGTGCGTGTGTGAGCATGTGTGTCCATGTGAGTGTGTGTTAGTGTGTGTGAGTGTGTGAGCATGTGTGAGTGTCCGTATGTGTGAGTGTGCCCATATGTGTGAATGTGTGTGTCCGTGTGTGTGAGCATGTGCATGAGCATGTGTGTGTGAGCATGTGTGTCCATGTGAGCATGTGTGTCCGTGTGTGTGTGTGAGCATGTGAGTGTCCGTATGTGTGAGTGTGTCTGTGTGTGAGCGTGTGTGAGTGTCCGTATGTGTGTGTGCCCATATGTGTGAACGCGTGTGTCCGTGTGTGAGCATGTGCATGAGCATGTGTGTGTGAGCATGTGTGTCCATGTGAGCATGTGTGTCCGTGTGTGTGAGAGCATGTGTGAGTGTGTCTGTGTGTGAGCGTGTGTGAGTGTGAGCATGTGTGTGTCCGTGTGTGAACATGTGTGTGTCAGTGTGTGTGAGCGTGTGTGAGTGAGTGTGATCATGTGTGTGTCTGTGTGTGAACATGTGTGTGTCAGTGTGTGTGAGCGTGCATGAGCGTGTGCATGCATGAGTGTGTGTGTCAGTGTGCATGCGTGAGCGTGTGCGTGCATGAGCCTGTGCGTGCGTGAGTGTGGGTGTTTGCTCATCGGTGTGTCCCTGAGCAGATAGAGTTCAAGGGCTGGTGCACTCCCTGGAGGGTCATTTCCTGGCCGGAGGCGCCTGGGGGGCACAGGGCCGTGACCAGCCGCTCGCTGGCTGAGACGCGTCTGGACGGGCCGCTTGTCCCTGGGCTGGGCTGTCTGTCCCTCCGAAAGGCGCCCGAGGCGGAGGTCGTCAGCGTGAAGCCCGGAGCTTCCAGCGTGGGGGGCGGAGAGAACCTCCCGCGTCCCAGTTACTTCCAGTCCTGCAGCAGGTCTGTGATTACATGAGGTCATCGTGTTGGAACGACATAAAATACTGTCTAATTAGGCACCATCCATCTTCCAGAGGCGCATCAGAGATCCTGTCACGTCCAAACGGAAAGCCTTTCAGCCTCGGCGGGGAGCTCCGTGGGTGTCCGTGCCCCCGTGGCCCATCTGCCAGCGGTGGAGCCGGCCCAGGAGGAGCGAAGGGATTGGGAGGGAGGGAGGGAGGGGCAGCTCCCCCGGCTCACTGGGCCTCTCCTGCCCGGAGAGCGTGCAGCGGAGATGGAAGACCCCTGACCTTCCACCCTGCACAGCCTTCACGATGGAGGCGCGCCCGTGACTGTCCCGGGGTCTCTCTGACCCTCAGTCTCTTCCTCTGTGCAGTGGGCTGGTCGGTGAGTGAGGCAAAGAGGGCGGCAAGGCTGACCAGTGGTTTCTCCTCCGCCGTCTGGAAACCGAGTTCTCCCAGCTGGACTGGGGGGGCGTGGGGGGCGTGGTGGGGAGCTTGCCGCCGAACGCAGTGACAGTGTCTCCCCCTGGTCTGTAGAGAGAGCGCCACTCAAGGCTGCAAAAGGCAAATGCCCCAAGTTCTCCACTCTCCACGGGCGGGCCCTCGTCCTGGGTGCCCAGCGGCTCCCTCTGAGCCTGTCTGTGCCTGCGGGCAGCCCAGCCCCTCCCAGGCTCCCCTGAGAATTCTGGGAATGAGGGGCCCCCTCCTGCTCACCCCGCTGCCCCAGCCGTTAGGCCTCCCCGTTAGTGGCCCCTGCCCGCTGGTCACAGTGTCTGCTGGCCGCTCGCTCAGTCTTGCCCTATCCAGGGGGACAGAGCCCCCGTGTCCCCCAAGCTGCCACGGTCACCGGCTTGGCCGAGGCCGATGACAGGCCAAGGGAGAGGCTACCGTCGCTTTGGCCTGTGCTCGGGGTCCGGTGCTGGCCTCTGGTCTCCTTACGCCTGTCCCTCGTGTGGCCAGGACTGTTCTCCCCACAAACGAGGGTCCCACCCACCCCCTTCTCACTCTGTCCCTGCCCCTCAGCCCCCCCCCCCCCATCCTGGGGGTTCCTGGCTGATCCGAGAGCAGGTCTCCGAGGACGAGGACGTGTCCGCTCAGGTGCTGCCCGCCCCGGTGACCTCCTACAAGCTCTGTGACTTCGGACCAGTGACCCTCACATGGGAGTGGTGACCTTCCCGGGGAGAGAAGCTGGAGGGAGAGAATGGCCGCCGGAAGGTCAGTGCCGCTGGGAAGCCCCCGATGGCCACACGCAGCCTTAGCAGAGCAGGAGGCGCCAGTAGCCGGGCCGTCTGAGCAGGTGACAGACGTGAACGTGACTCCAGCCGGGAACCCGGGGCGAGCCACCTGAAGCCTCTGTGACCCCCGCTTCGTGCAGTGCACCCCGACGGGCCGTTCCCGCGCTCTGCCAACAGGGAGGTCCCGCGGGCGCCACCGGAGGCGGACAGAGCGGGTTGGGAGGGAGCAGCCGGGAAAGGACTCCGCCTGTAAACACCTGTGTTAGCAGCTGCTTGTTTATGGCGCAGCAGCTTCTCTTTCACACACTGTTACACACACCTCTCCCCTCACCTGCGCAGGTGTGTCCCACGGGACCGGGGACCCGCTGGCGGGGGGCCAGCCCGCCCCTTGGAAACCGTCCCCTCCGTCTGGCCCGGAGGCCAGGTCATCCTGGGCCCGCTGCGGCCTCAGAGCGGCTGGGGGGACCGGCCGCCCGGGGCGCAGCCAAGTCCTGCCCAGTGTCCTGTCGGCTGGGAGGCCGGCTTGGCCCTGAGGCCACAGTGACCCCCGCTGGAGGGAGTGGACACCTGCGTTCCCAGCTGGCCAGGCCGCTTTGCATGTTCACACCCCGAGGAAATGTGAACCCCCAGCACCTGGCTACACCCGCCTCCCAGAGCCGGAGGGCAGGGACCCGCGACAATGAAAGCTTTAGAGGCGTGGCTGGGAGGGCCAGCCTGCAGCTCTCGCTCGTGCTGTCAGAGCTAGAATGTGTGCACACGCTGGCCGGCGGACTCCCGGAAGCCCCGTGGATTCACTCAGGTGGCACCTGGCTCGTGGACTCGGCCCCCACCGCCCCGGAGCATTGTGGGAACTCAGGAGTGCTCGATGCTCAGGCCCCGCCCAGGCCTTCTCCTTTGCTTGACCGGAGGTGGGCTCCACACACCAGCATCTCCCATCAGGCTGCCGAGTGCCCGACGGAGAGCCAGACGTCTCTGCCTCTATTTTTCTTTAAATGTGCTTTGCTGTAGTTTGTTTTATATAGATATTGATCCCAGGGGGAGGGAGAAACATCAATGATGTGAGAGGATTATGGATCGGCTGCCCCTGCACGCCCCACACTGGGGATGGAGCCTGCAAGCCAGGCATGTGCCCTGACTGGGAGTCGAACCCTGACCTCCTGGTTCACAGGTCGACGGCCAACCACTGAGCCACACCAGCCAGGCTTGCATTGCTTGTTTTGTTGCTCACACTGATCAGCTCCTGCCCCAGGGGCGCTTTGGAGCTGCTCCCGTGTCCCGCAGCCACATCCCCATGGGTTTCTGGGAACCAGATGCCTGATCTGCTGGTTCTGTGCTGGGCTCGGCCTTGCATCTTTGTTGTTTAATAATAACGACTCGTTCCTTGTCCTTCCATGAGCACGCTTCCTCTCTCTCCCACGGTTTTCAGAGTTTCACTCTTGTCCCGGGCGTGGTGGTCATGTGCCAGGTAAGAGGGAGACCCCCTCCCCCGGGGGGTTCAGCTCCCAGCATGCCTGGAGGGCACAGGCAGAGTTCCCCCCGGTGGGATGTTAACCCTCTGCCTTCCCTGGTCCGCAGATGCTTGAGCCTGTCCCAGGTCCTAGGTCCCTGGTCGTCCGTCTGTCCCTCTGCCCAGCAGAGGTGTTTGTCGCTCTGTCAGCGCAGGCTTGGGGTTGGGGTGTGAGGCTGGGGCCTGGTGTGCATTTCCGAGGTTGGTTACAGGTGCTGAAACCGGGGGCCAGGCCTGGCTGCAGGCGGGTGTGGCCTCGCTGCGCTTCCTGTGGGAGCCGAGTGGCCGCTCACCAGGGCAGGAAGGGGCGGCAGGAGGGCGGGCGGGGGAGCCGGCCTGTTGCCCACAGTGCCTCTCCTCCAGCCGGGGTGGGGGCGGGTGGGGGTGGGCTGAAGGGAGGCCCGCGTAGAGCCATGGGTCTGGGTCCCCGAGGCAGGAGGCTGGAGGAAGTCACAGGTGCAGACCCAGCTCCCCGTTTGTGGGAGCCCAGGCTGGCGCAGGCCGTGGAGGCCCCGGGGTTCAGGGCTGGGCAGGGAGTGAGTGAAGGAAAAGGGACTCCAGGGGGGCCTGGGGAAGGTGGCCTGGCAGGCCGAGGGGCTCTGAGGGCCCGTCTCGGGGGTGAGAGGCAGCAAAAACGAATCCCAGGGGACAGGCCTGCGCACCGCACGGATCGCGTCCGGGTGAGTCCCTGCGGGTGCCGCTGCTCGGACTGTGGGAGCAGCTGCCTGTGACGGGCCGTGAGGGCTGAGGACGCTGCTTGAATCTGACACGAAGCAAACGCAACAAAACAAACACGCGGGACTGCGTCACACTGAGGCTTCTGCCCAGCAAAGGCCCCAACAGGATGAAAAGGCAGCTGAGGGGAGAGAGCCGCACAGCCGTAGGGCTCCCGTCCAAGAGACAGAAATAGCTCCCACATTCAGCAGCGGACGAGCCCCTGGTTACCAGGCGGGCAGGAGACCCGAGGAGGCATTTTCTGAAGAGACATGCGGGGCCTACAGGTGCTCAGCCCGCTCCCCAGGGACATGCGGCCAAGACCACAGCGAGGTGTCACCTCACACCTGTGGGAGCGGCCGACAGCAAAGGCTGGAAACACCACGTGCCGGCGAGGACCTGGAGGAAAG